TTCCCTAATGATTTAAGAATATGCTAGATACGACTTTTAGGTCACTCTTCTACATTTATGCTTATTGCATACATGGGGCCAAAAGGTAAGATAACAGAAAGAAGCTTTCACTGCTCATCAGTATTTACTTGAGATCCCACAGGCTGTATCTTTGTAATCTATGACTGTAGGACAAATAGTATTTCAGAACACTAGAAAAGTATTCTGATACCCAGCAACAATGTTCAGCACATGTAAAAACTCAGTGGGACTCATTGACATATATATCTCTAATCTTTGAAAGGACCAAAATCAACAAAGGGAAAACTATGGCTGATTGTCATGCTTGAGTTTTATTTTGTTATTTCACACTTCTAAGACCCTCCCTAGTGCAGATAATTACATTCTGTGTACCATATCCTATCACATAGCCTATATGGTAAAGGAAAGTATGCCTATTTATGTTGGGTGCTTTTGTTTTGGCTTGTGGATCTCAAAATCTTCAGTACACATGAACTCATTCATCCTAATAAATGTTCTCACGGTTACTTTTGAGGGAGGGGAGAGGAAGGGAGGGAGAGGAGAATTCAGGCCACAAGGACATAGATCCTGCTTCTCTGTTTTTCTGGTCACAACTGGAATCTCTTCTCAATGACTGAACAAGGCTCCTCCTGCAGACAGGAGGGGCAGAACTCTTGCAGTGGCTTCCATAAAACAGAGTAACTCAAAAGTCACTCTCATTTGTACTTTGGCTGGAGATGTGCTAGTTTAAGTATCAAGATGTTGCATCAGGTTTTCTGACTTTCCTTTTCCATCTATACTCTGCTAAATGCTTTTCCAGGACGGAATCTGACATGATTAATTTTGTTTAAGGTCATACCATCAGTTCAGAGTTGTAGTTAATTGCCTTTTCCATGCAAACTGCCAGTAGGAACAAAATCACAGTACATTTTTGTATCAAGGATCCATTTGATTAAAATGGGCTTTAATACATGCTGTTATTCCCCAGCAGCCATGCCAGATTTGCTCACATACAAATGAAAGTAAATAGGCTGAAAACATCCTGAGCTTTGGGAGCTGTGCTGTATGCCAGCACAACAGAGCCTTTGTTACAGGCAGAGCAGTGCTCTCATAACACAATTACTGCTTCCAGCTTCAGTTTCTGCACTTCCAGAAAAATCAACCTTCAAAGAAAAACAAACAAAGCCCCCATATACTTCTAATGGACCCCAACTCATCGTGGCACTGGTGACACTGACCTCAGGTGCCACCAGGTGTGACAGTGGCTCTCCTGTGCAACCCCACGGCCCTGCTAAACACCACTCTTGCTCCACTTGCCACTGGGCACAGGGAGATGCTGCCGGGCACAGCCTTGCACCAGGCAGGCTGGAAAACCTCCACCTGGAGTGATTTACTTTGCTACCTTGCTTGCTATTTCCTTCCACATCTCCGTGCAACAGATAGGCAATTGTTTTTTCTTTTAGCATGTAAAATGATACAAGTAAAATGAATGTGAGCAGTTAAATTAGTGTAAGCCAGCAATATTCAATGTATTGCCTAGAGATGTAAATTGCAGAACTATCCAATTCATAAATGGTATATACAGAAAATAAGCAAATAACTATATGCAGTGGAACTAGTGTAGACTGGCAGCAAAGAATTCTAAATAAAAAGTGTAGATTGTTTTTTATGTGGAGCTTTATGATCATAACAAGATGGCATAATCACATTCACGGTAAGCAGCAGAGGCATGTACTACTTTAAAACTTTATGTGTTTGTCATACAGCCAGATTCATATTGGCAAAACAGTGGAAAAAAGTCCCTTCTATGTTGATAAATAGTATCAGAAGGTTTGGGAAGTGAAAGTGACAGAAAAACATAAGCATTCAGTGCACATTCAAAACATCACAGAAACAAACAAAAGATCTGCTACAGAACTCAGTGTGTGACCTACCATTCACTGGCTTTTGAAGGTAAGGCACATTCACCTGCTATTAGCATCACGCTTTGAAATGTCCTTCTAAACACAAATAGTAGGTTTAAATCCTGAACTGAAGAGTAATTGTTTCTTCTGAAACAATTACAACAAAGCCTTAAATTGTGCTCTTAAAATGAACCGAAATACGAGTCCCAGATAACAGAAACCCATGAGACTGCATTTAATGACAAGCACAAGCTGAAAGCCCAGTGCTCTGAGTGGGCAGCACCTAGCAGGTTTGGAATGATCTACATTTCATTGTATTCATACTTATCTACTGGAGTGTAAAACAATCTTTTAAATAGATTGGCAATAATTTTGAAGTTCTTCAGTAAATTATTAAAAAAAAAAAAGAGAAAGTCTTTGTTTTATAAAGGTATTGTATGAGTGACATGCCTGTAATGAGAGACAGCAGTATGAAACTTTGCAAGATTGTAAAGAATCTGGGGCATTTTGTGTCTTTTTTTCATATGCTTCTTAGTGTTCAGGTAGAAACAATAAAGCATACCCTGATTTCATCATATCCTTCCAAGTACTAGAGGCTGTTAAATTATATGTCCCACAGCAAACTCTGCAGTGACTTTTATTACTTTAATTACTTTTTATTTTCTATAAAATACAGTCTTCATAACTTGGTCTTTCTTGTATAAAATAAAATAGAAGCCTAAAGGTGAGAAATATTTAATAGGAAGCAAAGCTATCTGTGGTCAGTAACTTGCTTCTCAGTTTTCTTAAACATGAAAATGGTTTCCTCACAAATTTATCTCTTCTTGTGAAGGAGAAATGGTTTCTGGCTGGCAGTAGACCCTGAGCCTCCATGATATGGGGGGAATGCCTTCCTGTCAGCACAGAAAATTGGTCTACAGAGTCTGGCTTGAGTCTTACGTACACTAACAAAGTGTACATCTGAGTGAATCTGTAGCTTCACTCAGAAGGTATGAGACAGCACAATGGACATGGGCATGTCTCAGGTCATGTTTTTGGCTGCAGGGGAAGGAGATGAGAACCACTTTCCCAGTCATGTTAGGTGCTTGTGCCATACCACTGAGCAGGTTTGGTGGGATGTCTACAGCCATAGTGTTGCCTGGTGGCTCAATCTGATCAGGGATTACTGCCATGGTGTTTGCTGAAGAAAAGGAACAGCTGTACTCACCATACCAGTTATCACATGAGGCATAACAGCTCTGAAAAGACATGACTCTGAAATGCTAGCTATAGAAGTAATAGAGAAAGAGTTGACAGTCAGTGACATTTTGAATGACTCCTGTACAAAGCACCTAATGTTCTGCTGCAACCACATCTGAAGCTCCATGCTGCTTTCTTCTGCTTGCACCACAAAAGAAAGAACAGGGATTTTTCTAATGAGACTTGATTACTTAGTGTCTCCCTGTAACTTGCTTGCTCTTTGGCATGAAGCTTATTAGCATTAGCCAGCAGGAGAAGCTGCACTTGGTACAACCACCATTTTTGTTTACATTAGATTTGCTTTTCACTTCCAGATTCAAAATTAACTATTAGCAAAATGTTAACATCACAAAAGAGGTTAGATGGTAATGTATGTCAGGGATCAAGAAATGAGTGTCCTGTACTGTAGCTGTTGCTTCATGTGGTCTTAGCAAAGGGGAAGACAAAGACAGCTTTACAATTTTTGTGTGAATTCTCCACATTGTGTGATTCTAGATTCTAGCACAGTTCCGACAAGGAGATCTTACTGAGCATGTTACTGAGAAAAAAACTTCTGTAGCTTTCTGTAGGGGAATAATTTGGAAAAAGAATTAATTGAAAGGAATTTCCCAATAATATGTTTTCTGTAAGACTAAATAGCAAATCTTTCTATGTTAACAAGAACTGATCAGTTATGGATTTTAAATACATTCTCTGTATAGGTTCCTCTTGATGTAGCTTGGATTTCTAACTTTACGAACAGCAGCTTGCTTCAAGGGTATATACTAGCACTAATCACAATCCGTGTTAGTAACAGTGAATTGAAAGAGGATAAGAAATATGAGCTATTTTTAGAGGCAATAAGAGGCATAGCTCTTCACTCTCAGAGAAAAGCCATTTTTAGGAGTGAATGGATAAGCTGGTTAAAATTCTTCGCTGTATCTGGTAGTCTATGGATCTCCTTAAAGCTAGCTGACTTCGTAGCTTTTAGGTTCATTAAGCATTTAGAAGTTTTACATTGTATCCTTTTGTGCAGAAGAGAGCTTAAGTTATAAAGATTCAATGTTAATGATGTCCAGTTACTCAGCATTCTGTGTTCACCCTGAGTCAGAAATCCTCTTAAAGGCAGAGAGAATGTCATTGCTAAAAACCCAACTATTTTCCCAAAGAGAGTAATTACATCTGTAACTGTAATTAAAAAGTAAAACATCTTGGAATGTGTGGAGTTTATTTCTCACTGACTTATCTAAACTGTGGAGTGCAAGCTTTACTTTAATGCAGTTCGAAAGAGCAGTCTCAAATATAATCAATTACGTTTATCCTTAATGTAAAATATTGGCCAGGATTTTCAAACACATCCAAAAGCCCTGTGAGCCAAATCAGGGGTCATGTTTCTAATCCACAGAGGTGTTTTAAAATCCCACTCATTGGTCCTTGTTTTGTTGTTGTTTTGCATAGTTCACAACTAGTTTATAAACCTCTTCCTATCTTTCTTCTGAACACATACATCAGAAGTCCTGGGCAATCAGGCTGCAATACTCACCTTATTCATGGAGGTCACACACATTACAAATAGGTCGTTCTAGTCATTCAGACCACCTTGAGAATAAAGTACTATTTAAATGGAATTTGAATAATATTGTCTAATCCGAAGTGCTGACCAGTTTTCTAGTCTGAGGCAAGGATTTCTTGAGCTTTTCGTCTTTACAGTATTTGGTGTTATACAATAACTGAAATTTGGATGTGACTGCTGAGTACTAAATTAGGTAGTTGGCACTTCGTATTCTAGTACATGAACATAATTTCAGAACAGCTCATACTGAGAGATAGGAAAAATAGGACAGCGATGAACAAAATCATGCCACAATTTTTACTTAATAAGGTAATGCTGAAAACCTTTAATAAAAAACAAATATTGTTGAAGAACGTTATCACACATTGAGTTACTGTACATAACAAAATTTTACAAAACATAAAAATTTACATTTTTATATGCAAAAGATAAAACTCCCTTCCCTTAGAGACTCATAGCAAATTTTATTTCAGTAAATGATCCTTTCTAAAGAAAACAGTGTTAAAACTCCTCATATTCACTGTACCAGTGATCAGGTTGAAAACCCAATGTACTATGAATTAAACTTTCAGCACTACAAACTGTAAGGAAATTTATCAAATATACGTGGATAAAAGGAAAGGAATCACAGGGAGCACAGTCAGAAGCAGCTCAAATACATGCGTACAACTCCACTTTGAGAGCATGGCAAGGAGGAGAAAACATTTCTGTACTTGCATTAGGTAAGAAAGTTAGTATTAATAATTTTGTTGTATACAAGTTGACTTCTTCTACTGCAACAAATATTGGTGAGTACCTAATTGTTTCAAGAGTATCTTGTGATGGTCGTAAAGGTTTTTAAATCTACTTAACTTTTCAGCACTAAGAGCTACAGTTTAATTCTTTCTTAGTATTTAATTGCTTTAGGTTCAGAGAGGCAGGGTTAGGTGAATTCCTTCCCACAGTTCAGTGCAGGGTATGCAGCTGCTGACTCACAACTATCACGACAAGCTGTCTATACCTACCCATCAAATCTGGCCAGCTGATCTGTGTGGTTTGTTTGGATCCTTTTGCAGCTGCCGTGTTTGTTCTCAGACTTTATGGAAAAGAAACAACTACTTGCAGTATCATGTGCTTGCATCTTTCAGAAAAACTGTGGTGGTCTTTTACAGGTTTGTGTATTGAGCTGGAAGAGGAAGCAGTATTATACCTAAGGAAATGGCCATCTGGAGCTAGGGTTTTTTAAGTTCTGTGCTTCTTTGGTGGATGTATTGCTTGCTAAGTGATGATACTATTTCTGACTTTTATTGCTTACTTCTACACAGGCTCACAATACAGGATTTTTGAAGTGTTTGGTTTAACTGAACCAGAAGTATATTTGGAATATTGATATATTTGAAACAATGCAGCAAACACAGAGCTGTGAGATTGTTTTGCTTATGCATTTTGCAAGAACTCCGCTAGTTTCCCATGATTTTACAAAATAATTGGTTTTCATTAATTCTTCTCCAAAACCCTTTTTCATAACTGTGGCTATCTTAGGTACTTTATCCATAAATACAACATGTGTGCCCTCTAGTTATAAATAGCAACTAAAGCCAGACTACTGTTTGCCTTTTTATTCTAAAAGCAAGTATGTTGCTTATATTTTGCTGCCCTGTATTTATGAATGCCTATATTGTATGAATCTTGAATAAAATAGTGAAAAAAAAAACCGACTGAAAGTTGGTATTCTCAGGACTGGCAAGAAAACATTTGAGTTTTCTGTATCTTGACATTGCAGCAGATTGTCCTAATGAACCTTCCTTCTTAAAATTCATGAGCATGCTAAGTGTGTGCAGTCAAAAGCAGCACGCTTTTAAACCTTCCTGAGGATAAACAAGCCCCAAGCGTTTTCACTGATTGCTGTACCATCCAGGCCATCTATAACCCTTTCACAGAAACATGTCCTTATGCCCCATGGTTGCTGTCAGCAGTGCTGGTGCCAGCTCTTCCCCTATAACTTCCTCAGCATTCTCACTAGCTCAAATCCTTTTCTGAACTCAAACTTGATGGCCTGTTTAATACCTAGAGTTTGCACTTCAGTGTTGCGCCATAAGAGAAGCAAACAGCCTGCTTAGCTTTGCCTCTAGCTAACAGTAGAAACTTCATTATGCATTTCCTTATTTATGTTTCCTCCCTACCTTTCCCTCCTACCAAACATGCTTTGGGCTTAGCTCAAAGTGTTCTCGCTACACCCATTCTGCCTGTCTACTCATGCCTCTGTCAGCCAGAAGATGGCACGTGTCCCTGCATCCTCCCACCTGCAGATAGGCTCTCGTCCGTGGGGGGTCACCTCAGCCAGAGTTTGATAAGCCCTAACTTAATTTGCACCTGCCCCTTCACCACTGCCCTTCTGTTGTGCATTTTAATTTGTGCAGTTACACAGTGAGCCAGGCTGGAGAAATGACCAAAATCAAAACCATCCTCTTTCCCTCTCTGCAAAGTTGGTTTATCCAGTACTTTCACTGAAGGAAGTGTTCATCAAACTGTACTCTACCTTGAGTTAAAAAAATAAATCCCTCCTGTTAAGTCACATGTGCCCTTCCCTCAGGCTACTCAGTCAGTCCATTGTGCCTCTCCTGGTATCAATCCTCTCTTCAAACCTTTTGCTGTTGTCCAACAAATTTGCCTAACCAAGCTGTGAAATTCTTCAAGGGCCTTTGCACTGAGTACAACAGCAAAGTTCAGGGGTACTCCAATATTCCAATTTTTGAGCATGTCAGCCTCTGGTAGCATGTACAGGTTACACCTACACTGTGATGTTTAGTAATACAGAAATGTTTTGACATCAACCAGAATTTGTAAGTTGCACAGACATTTCCCAGGCAGTTATGTACAACTCCTTCCCTCATTCTTCTTAATTTTCAACCCAACGTAGGAAACAACAATTTTTTATAGAAGGGGAAGACAAGCCTTTTCATAATTCTTGTTCCACTCCTGCTAAGCCTCATCAGTACAGTTAGTGCTCTTGTTTCAAGGTGATTACTTATGTATATGAAGTTGCTTAGTTCAGTAAAATATCAGCAGAATTAGATACGGTTTTTCACTGGAATGGAAATCTTGTAATCAGGCCTGTATACGTGGCCAACTACTGACAAGTATCCCTGCTCATTTCACACATTTCTGTAGTTCCAGAACTGTGTGGCAGAACTGAGGTCTGGACTTTAGATCACCTATAAACCATGTTAGTATATGAGTGTTTTAAAATCAGATTTCTAATTACCAGAAGTCTCTTGGAGTAGCACAATGAGCTTTTAGTTGCAGGAAAGATGAGTCAAACTGACAAATCTGGCTTTGGATATCTCTGTTCTGTAAAGCATACATTAGAGTTCAGATCCAACCTGCTCTTACCAAAGGCAGTTTACTTCCCAGAGCCAGTGTACGGGATCCATCCCAGATCATAACTGAAAATTCTCCCAGGGAGTAGGACACAGATACGCAATTTTCAACATTTGCAGCAGTTAATCAGCAGCAAAGCTAAGCAGAAAACAAACAAAACCCTAAAGTCTTTCTGTTGTTGTAGTTGGTAAATAAAACATTGTATTTGGATTTAATCCACATTATGCTTCAAAATTCCCTCCCGCCCTTGAATAGATTTCAAGTTTTTCTATTCTGCATTTTCATTAATATCCTTATTTTTATCAGTGGCCACCATGCATTTTTTCAATTACATTTTTAGGCTTCTCTGGCAGAGCATGCCTCCAAAAGTTGTTAATAAACTACAGTATCCTGAGTGCTGAGCCACTATACAGTCTTTTAAAAATACAATTTGCATTTCTAATTTCAGATTTAAATGCAAAAATGTAGATATTTCTCTTTGCTTTGCAAAAGTCTTAAGACTCTCCATTTAAGGAATCAGAACCAAAATTTCTAAAACATGCAAAATGTTTACCATTTTTTGCAGTAAAAGGATTTAAGTTTTTTATATGATCATATTCTCATTTTTGTTATTATATTAACAATAAACACCAGTAATAATATATATATATAACAGGTGTAACAAGGTTACATCCAATCATAAGGAAACTAAACAACCTACAAGATTATTTTTACATATTAAATCAATAAACCAGCTCTGTTTATTGGTAATAGAAACAGGATGCATGTGGTTATTTTCTAAATAATTATAATATAGGAATTATACTTTATTTTTATATTCTAGCTACATATAAAACAGAACACTTGCTTGCCAACAAATTTCACATATTTTTTGCTGCAGAGGAAAATTATTTAACAGTAGTATTGAAAGCTTAGGTGCCTGTAAGCCATACTAGTGAAAACTCACTTTCTTTTTATTGATCTAGAGGTTTTCAGTTTTTCAGGAGGCTGCAAAAATGTTCACACAGGAATAAAGGGAAACAGCAGTTATGGTCACATTATTTATGAACCGTGTAATAAAATAAGGCTGATGTTGGCTCAACTTTCATTTTGGCATTTCTTAAAAACAGCTATACATGAGAGTACTGCACAAGCATCATGCAGTTTTTGTTTATTTGGGTTGTTTTAAAAGAAGAATAAAAAAATAAGTACCTTTACAGTAGGAAAGCTGCAATGGTGGAACCTTGTGCACAGGAGAGGAAGGTGTGCTAATGAGCTTCATGTTGTGTGCTCAGATCCCTGATAGAGCAGCAAAATGATAATCCTTTCCTGTGCAGCACAGGAAGATATCACTTTCAATCTGGACATCAACATGAGAAGTATAATGACAATTCAGAGCTGGTGCTGATAATTAGGAAGCTAGAGGGACTGATCTATGAGGAAATGGCATTGATTAAAATTTGCATTTAGAGCACTTTCTCGAAGAGGATCTCAACTGCTGTGCTGTTGTTAGACCAGCATTTTCAAAAGCAAGCGTTGAAGGGGTTGCTGTGCTCCTGGGGCCTCCAGTAGTCAGCAGATTTTCTGAGCAGGTGTTTAACAAAGCCAAAGCCTGCTGAACACCCTTGTGCTAAATACTCTGGGAGGAAGTGGTGGGGATTTAGCTGAAGCACCAGACACATTACTTTTATTTGTGAAAACATTCAGGCAGCCACTTCACTTTGTTTCCAGCCAGGTGCCCCTGATTTAAAAAGCTCAAAGGCATAAATAAAGTGACAGGAGTGAAGAGTCATTAGGATTGCATAGGCACTACTGGTAATTCTGCAAACTATGTCCCTTGGAACCTCCAACAGAAAAACAAACCAAAAGAAGCTCTCTGCCACTACTTCCCCCAAACCCTCAGCCAAAAAATTGAATAAAATTTGACTGACTATGAATGGCACCACAACAGATGAAAGAATGTGGAAAGAAAGAAGTGACTATTGAGATGTTTGGATCAAATTGGAGGAAATTGCAATTCAAAGGGTAGTTGCATCAACCACTGGTTGCAGAATCACATCCTCCCCTAAAGGTACATGGAAAGAAGAACATTGTGGACAGGGAAGATGCAGATATGTGATTAGATAGAAGAGATAGCCACATTCTCAAAATGGTGAGTGAAAGTCACTGAGAACTTTCCATGATTTTGCTAAAAGCTATTGGGAAGTCAAACATCTATGAAAAGGATGAACTTCAGAATGTCCTGAAAAAATAATTCATTTAGGGATCAGCCAGGCTTCTGACAGATTTATGCTGTCCAAGTCATGCTCCCATGATTTCTCCTACACTTACTCTCTTCCCCCCACCAGTAAATACCTCCAATTCCTCCCTGGGTTCCTCTACTTGTTACACAGAGCTGTAGTAGAAATGTTAAGCTTGGATGAGCGAAGAATGAATGGGAGTGCCTGGAACAAAGGGCAGGAGAGGACATAAGGGCCCACATGTCGGGACCCAGCTTAGCAGGTCATCAGAATCCCAGGAGATCTTTGTGGAGCTTTTAAGCATACCCAGGTTAGGAGACAAAGGAGAGTGAGTAAATCCTGATGACTCATAGAGACTGGAAAGGATGGAGAGGCTGACTGTCAGCTTCTAAATGGTGTATAAAAGGCATATCCAAAATCAGCACATGAAGCTCATTGAGAAGATTGGAGAAACTGTAGAAAAGCTCAGCATGCAAATGCAAATCAGCTCAGCTAACAGAAGTAACTACTACAAAAATAGAAAGGTTTTATAGAGCCTTTACATTGTTTTCCATGGCTTATTCAGTGTAATAAGTAATTTCTATTAGTGGAAATGAAGACATTGCAAAGCATTATGAGGTAACCTTGGAGAAGGAGAGTTCAGCCTCAGCACACAAGCAGAGCTTTGCAGTGAGATGGGTCTTTACACCCTAACATAAGTCCAAGGCAGCTATGGCTAAGGCATAAGCACATATATCAGAAGATCTAGCCCAAAAAATGAATTTGTGCTGCTGCTAGTGAATATATATTGCTTTTATTTTGAAACAGATGCATATAGGTCATTGCTTCAGTGAAATACACACCACTTCAGTAATAATTTTCAAATCTCCCAGGTTCTCGTAATTTAACCATTGTTAATTATTTAGCAATTATGCTGATGAAAGGTTAAAAATTATAGCAGAGGCATTTCTTCAGACAGGGGAAGGAGAAATGGTTTAAAATTAAATCCTTGCATTTGGTGCTTAATGGTAATGACATGCTATTTTTGTATTATTGGAAGTTACAGTTGATTACTTAGAAACTTTGGAACATTGGAAAGTGGGCTAGAAAAGTATACTGAGCTAAATAAAAGATGAGTATTCTCTACTGTGAGATTAGTACATGGAAGAGGCCTACAGAAAAACAGTTTTATAAATTAATATCTTGGTGACCACTGAAAACCACAATGTGTGGTTTATATGTTGGGGTCCATATTTAAAGTAGGCAGAGACTACAGATAGAAGTGTTAAGAGAAACTTGACCTTTCTAAGAACTAACAAGCTATATTTTCATATATTACTAATGCAGTAAGCCATGAATATTTAAATGAAAAATAAAAGTAAGTTAAGTCAGTACTGGGTGTAGGATCTTTTAAAAATTCTACCTGAACTACCAGTAACTTCTATTAAGTTGAAGATTTTCTTCTCCTATTTTTGAAATTTAGTATAATTTAAAGAGCTTAACTACCACATGTCCTATCAGCCGTTTCAGATTGCAAAAGCAAAAATGTGATCTATTGAATTTCTCCCACAAGCTACTATCCAGGGTCGATGGGGATGCCTATATTTCATGCTTTCGTTCCCCTCTTTAAAGGAAAGTTAGAACAAATGAGCCAAGCTTTATGCCACAAAATGAGTAACTCCAGAACATTTCAGAGCAAGAGCAAGAAAGCATCACAAAGCCATCAGGGTTCCTTGTGAAGAATATCCTGTCAAACACCCACACTTAGAATGAGGAAGATGCATTATAATCACCTTTACCAATTGCATTCCTAGCCCCAGAGGGAAGTAGGTGGGAGGAATGCAGCCTGCTCATACAAATTGGTCTCAGATTGCCAGTCACTTCTGGTGCCTCATTGTTGATGTTATACAATCTCCACTGAAGGAAGAGCCACTCTTTTGAGTATGGCAGAGGCATTTAACATAATGCTGCACTCCATAAACAACTGTGAGACAGTTGATGACCTTGTGCTTTTTACAAGTAGCTAGAGCATGTATTCAAGCTGTAATAAGAGGAGAGGTATCGGAACATATAACTTAAATAAGAACAAGTCTGAAGATTCAATGATGCCCTGCAGTAAATGGAAGTACATGGCAGCATGTGGGACTTCTCACACCTTTCTGAGTATTTATTAGAACTTACTATCAACTGAAAAATACTTCAGGAAATACCATGTTTAAGAAGATAGGAAAATACAACCCTTCTGTCAGGGTTTTAATGGCAGCAAAATATATGAGTTTTAAGTTTGGAAGTTTCTAGTAAACATCAGTTTAAATATATACCCTTGAAAAAAATATAAACCTGAAAACTAAGTGAGCTAATTATTCCCATTTGCAAATGGCAGATGAACTTAAATATTGAAACAATATTTCACTGAAGCAGGGAAGAAGTGGTAAGGGAGAAGGGTAGTATTTAATGCTTGCTTTCCAGAAGTGCAAGCATATTATTTATATTCCTTCTCTTTCATCTCTTGTGGTGGGCCCCAAGGCTGTTTTTCTCATCCTACAGTAACACCACAGTCTTGCAGGTTGTGGCTGTTGGGCTGGGGGGATATGTTACCTACACTGCTGAGGAGGCAGGCAAGGCCTACAGCTTCTGAAGCTCCACAGGTCCGATGATCATTTCCATCTCAGCTTGTGGCCATCTCTGCTGGTGGCTCTTGCCCCTTGCCTCAGCTGCCCTGTTGCTCCAAACGGCCTTTGCAGCTCCAAGCTCGTGTGAGTAATCACTGCTGCTCTGCTATTGGCACCTGCTCCTCAGTTCCCTCTGCTCTCCAGCAAGAGCCTGTAACACACAGGGCTGCACAGAGGTTTTTGCTGTTCAAAGGGGGCTTACAAAATAGACTTCCTGTCCTGCCTTGTCAGTCTACAACTTTTGCTCTCCAAACCGCTTTTGCATGAGCTGATTTGCCCAGATGTACGCCCAGTACTGCAACTACACAATTTCACTCGTGTTATGATACATCTGCCTATTACAAAGAGAAATATCTCACCTAGTACGCCAGCAGCAAACCGTGTCTCAGAGCTGCCCCTTTGCTCCCCTCCTGTCACCAGATGTTAATAGAGTCTTCCTCCTCTTCTGGCAGGAAGGCAGCTCTTCCCTTCAGGCCACAGCCATCAGGACTGCATTTGTCTAAAATGAGAGAAGATTGTAGCTGATCTTCCTGGTTCTCTCTTGAAACAGCAAAAGAGCAGATAAAAATAAATGGGCTGACTGAAACCTTATGTGAACATAAATTGTGATGTAGATTAAGAAGTCAGTTTGGTCATAACAGTAGGCAGAGCTTATCATTACGTTTTGTTTCTTTTAATGGAAACTTTCTACTGCATTTATATGAACAGGGTTATTTCTTTTAAGCTGAACTGTGTGTGTATTTCTCTGTGTATTTACAACATTCAGAAATCCAGGGCATATATATCTGCACAGCACCATATCCTTCCTTTTTGTTTGGGTTTGGTTTGGTTTCTGAGGTGTTTTGTTTTGTTTGTTTGTTTGGGTTTTGTTTGTTTTTTATGTATACTGTACACCCCAAAATTTCTCAAATTTCTGATAGGTATTTTTTAAATTTCTTGCCTGCTTCTTCTTTCAGTGTTCATCAACTGTGAATATATCCCTCATCCTTATTGAGACTCAAAAACTATCACCCATTTTCACTCTAGATACTATTCCCACTTGAGGTTGGGTTTTTGTGGGTTTGGCTTTGTTGTTTTTTTTTTTTTTTTTTTGCTGTTGTTGTGGCATGGTTTGTTTGGGGTTTTTTTTGAGATACAACACCTCTAGAATCAAAACAGTTACCCATTATCTGGGAGACATTAGACATTAGTAAGTGGATAGCACTGTTGTTCTGAGATCATCTAGAGCACATACACATGCATGTAGCAGTTTCAGGTGAGGTTTGTACATTATTGAATTTATCAGTGTAAATCTGTGGTAGAAGTCACCTTCCAAACAACAAGCTAGCATTACCTGCTGAGAGGTTTCATGGGTGAGGTAATGTACCTAAAATGGATCCCATTTATAGGAGCATAGAAATGAATCAGCCTATAATTCAGGGAAAAATAACCCTGGACCTCTGTTATCTCTACCCTTGGTATCCATGTGCCTTTGAAGGTTCCCAAGCCTCCCAGATTAGCACTGCTGGTAAGCAGGAGAGCCATTGGTGTAGTCAGTAATAAAGTTTTCTTCTCCTCATTCCTCACAGCTAGGTTGGAGCAGATCTAAAGTATCCTCTCGGCCACAAATTACTGTCTAAACACAAACTACTAGTCAGCACTTTGGAAAAGGTGCTGTGAGTGGCTTTTAATCTATTTCTCTCTCCCCACACATTCTATTCAAACATTTTCTATTTGTCTCATAACACATAAGGCTTGGCAGTCTTCGCAGTATAGAGTGAGGTTGAACTATTTCAAATGCCCACAGGACTTCAATTATTCTCCTTGTGCTTCTGCAATGATTAATGCTTTGGAAAACACAGTCACACTGCTATGGCTGGAGCAGGCGTGCAAATACCCACATGTCTGCAGGCAGCTGTAACCCAAGGCAGGAGCAGAATCACTAATGCTCTGCTGACCACAGTGCCCAGTCAATAATCCATGGCAAAAGCATCACAAGCTATACAATAGATCATGGGGGTAGATATTGGTATTGCTAGCAGTGGGATCCCTCAATGCAAATCCAATTTTTGAGAATTTGGAATATTCGGAGTTTTGTTTTTCAAAGCACATACTCGGTATCTGCACAGTAAAAATCTGAAAGAGAATTTGTTGGATGTATTAATTAAATAAATAACATGAATGTAAATGTTGATGTCATTATAAGGATTAAAAATATACATAAGATTTTCATAAAGCCTACAAGGAGTAAAATCATATGTGCCTGAAGACTTGTTAAACTGTATCTGCTGAATAAAAGTATGAATTACAGAGAATCCTTCAGACTCTTATATTTTTCACAAATCTGTGATTTAGTAGCAGTGAAAGACAGATGGAAGAGAGAGAGAGCCATATGTTTTTGAGGGCACCTAAAGGTAGCTTTGCACCCTCAAGCTGCATTTGGGATAGCATAGTAACACAGCGGCTTGAAGGCAAAGTATTTTTCAGTTTGGTTGTGCAATCCATAATTCTAGTGGTTAATTTGTTTTTATTTTCTCATTTTTGCATTTTCTCTTATTTTAATCTCTTTTCTGATGCTATTCTCTATTTGTCCTTTCCAAAGCTATTTCTTTCCTCTATGATCCAAACTTTTTCACAATCCTTTCCTTCTCTCTTATTCCTCTTTGTTTCTTTTCTCAAATTTCTTCCTTTATTATTTTCACTTCTCTTCTTCCCTCACGTTATGTTTTTTATCCTTTGTTTGTTTCTTTTTTGTGCTTCTTAAGCCTCAGAGAGTTGTATGGCTACTTCTTGAGTCTCTTTGAAAATATTTGCTTCTTTGCCAGCTGCCTTTCTGCATTGGCCTCACCTACATCTGATTGCTTGGATGATAATTTATTGTTAGGTTGTAGAGAGGCCAAGCACACTGATAAGTTGAACTCACATATACAAACAGAGATAACTCTGACTAGATTCTTTAGCTGTAACTGATAGTTTAACACCACACTGTTGGTTTTAAGGACAGACTCCTCATGAGCACAAGAAGTCCTCCTAGACATCTCTTCTACGAGTTACCATTTGCTTGTAGTCTCCCTAAAGGACTCACATTTCTTTTCTGGTATGATGGCATCATGTCTCTGAAACTGCTGGCATTTCTACAAATATATTTGCTCATGGAATGACAGCCACAGGCAATTCTGATAACACTAAACTAGCAGGAGACTGCAAATAGTGTGCTTGTCAAACACCTCCCAGTCCCACTCCCTTTCTCTGAATGTTCAGGCAAGGGAATATACTTTTTCCTCCTTTACTTTTCTGTGATTTACATTTTCATTGCTAAATCTATTACAATGTCCTGTTTATCTTGGACTGTGGCATCAAGTTCTTTGTACATCTTATTCCCTGCAGGAATTTCCCAGGCAAGTATTTCCCCACTGCACCTATTTGTTAAACAAAGACAGAAGATTCCTCTAATGCAAAAAAGTAGTGACTGTCCTCAGAGAAAGACAAAATCCTTCTGAAGAATAATTAATTTTCTGGATACAACTCAACAGAATGCTACTGTGTGTGTGAACACATGTTAGCAAGAAATAAAAGCTTCAAATCATATAAGCTATCTCCTAGCTGATTGGAATAATCAGAAAAAAAAACCCAGTTCAACATATTTTGAAGTTCTTATATACCATTAGTTCAAGCCCTCACCCAGGCTTTCTGGAACCACTAAACATATTCCCTGAGAGACCTTTTAAATTGTTCCCTGCTTCCAAGCACTGGATTCTTGGGGCAGGGAAGAGAGATTACCATTAATAGAGAAACACAGCCTCAACCCAAATACTGCTGCCAGCAATGTGTTTATGATGATACATAATGCATTCCCCTAAGCTAGTGTTAGAAATAGTCCATTATTTTAATTTACCACTCACCAGAAAGAGCATGCAGGAGGCACATATGCTTTTACCTACCACTTCTCTGTTTGGTGCATGGTTTTTATCATGTAGTACTGTCCAAGAGGGCTCACAGAGAGGCTTCAGGCCCTTGGGAACACTGCCCAGCCCTGTCCTTCAGTTCAGCCAACGATGACCGTTTCAGCTCTGTTTAGCTCTGTGACAAAAGAGGCTCTCCTGGAGCTAATCCAAAAGTGCCATCATGCTCTTCAGCTTCTGGAAGACACTTCACTTTCTTTGCAGTCCTGCTGGAGAAGGACTCCAAACTGAATCCTGCATTAACTTCAGTTTTGCTATTCAAACCCATTTTTAATTTGTTTCCTGTTATGATGGTTCAAGAACATCAGTGGGGAAGGGCTGAGTTGAAAGTTGATGCAAATGAAGCTTTCTGAGGGCTGACTTTTCCCTGTGTGCCAATAACTAAAAGTAGAAAGCACTTCTCTGTGGTTTTACGCCATCAGGAGTTCTGGGTAAATAGTTTATGCAGATGGGTTAGCTCCCTGCCCATTATTCTCCCTTTTAGTGAGAGATGAGAGTCATGAAGATTTGGGGCATGGGGCTTAAATGAAGTTTTATGAAGTAATATTTTTCTATTTTAGAATAATACTCGTCAGAAGGAAAAACAAACAAAAAAATAACAGGAGCAAAGATTCCCACAGCTGCATCCAAGTATTTTTAGAATCTCATTATCCCTCCAGAGTTACCATAATGTTGACGATACTGTGCAGAGGTGCAAAGTTCTTTAGCTGAATCACTCTGTTATCAGATGCTATGCGCTCTATGAAAACAAAGTTTCTGTTGATTCAAGGTCAGGCAAGTTCCATCAATATTTGTCTCTTACTGACTAGTCCAGAAAGTGCCTCCAAGCTGATCAACCACAGGTACATTTGAGTGCATTCTCTTCAATTTCCTCAAACATATATAGTGCTTACTTCCCTTTCTTCACTTCAGCATTCCCATGAGACACGAGCCTGCTTCCTCAGTATCCTCCCTACCTTGGTCTGTATCACCATTTGTGATGTCAAGAAGCAGGATCAGCTGGAGCATCCTGGGCTGACAGAACATACTCTTATCCCCACGTGGCTCTGCACCTTCTGGTGGCATGCCTGTGAACAGTAGTTTCCACATTTCTTTGGAAAAAAAGAAATTCTGGTAGTTCTGCTTAGTGTCCTTCTGTGCCATATAATTCTTTTTGAGGTCTTTCCCACCCTTATTTTTTCAATTCTGTTTTGACTCTGTGGCTTCTTCCCTTAGCATAAGGCATGAGCTTTTAGTGGCAAGTGTTTCTCAAGCCCACTCATTCTAGGAATTTTCTAGCGGGGCATCAGGATTTTTTTCAGCTGTTACACTGCATACATTCTCTTTCCCACTTTACAAAAATACTGAGATTAGTAATTGCTTTATCTAATCTTATCCTTTCTAACCCACAAATTTGTAATCAAAAGTATTTGAGAAACAGCTGAATGGAGTCCAGAGGCAGGGCATATTTGATTAGGGCTGGCACTATGTAAATATAGCTGCACTCATTCTGGGCCCCATCCAGACTGAGTCTTGTGGATTTACAGGCTCAGTTCAGCCTGGTGGTGTTTGTATCATATTGTTTTGCACACCTAGGAAGTACTATGACTATAGGTGTGCATATCAGCCCACTATTTAGACAGTAGCCTCATCTCCCTGCTTCACTTTCAGAGTTGCTTTTCTGTCACTGTCTCAATACAGTAGCCGTCTTAATTTTTCTGCACATTTAAAACTGGGTCTGACTGTTAGCATTCTGTTAGCATATCTGGCTCTTTTCCTTTAAGCCACTCCTAGCCCAGGTTTCTGGTCTTCTCTCCCTTTCTGCACAAGACAAGTGCTGCATAAGTTGGGACAGTCAGCATCTCTTAGAGATGCAGTTGTATAGCTTGTGCTGGGCTCCCTCACTGATGCCTACTTCTTACTCTACCATCAGCAATAGGAGATGATTCCTTTTCAAAATATTCTTCACTGAATTTATTAAAAATGTCAACTGCCATTAACTACTAGTCATAAGAAAGGTGTACCTACACACTAGTCTGAACCATAGGAACTAATGGGAATATGAGTCCCCTGCTTAGTAGATTTATCGTAATGGAACAATTTTAATCCCTCTTGAGCAAAACTGGATTTCAGCCAGTTTAACCAACACACAAAAGATTCTGTACCTAATTAGTCGGTCTTTGTAGTATTCAGACCCCAATAAATATTAATGTGATGTCCTAAAGAATGAGGTTTATGTTCCTGAATCATACACTTATTAAATCAAGATCTGACCTTTCTGGAGATTACATGGGCAAACTCCTTCACTCTCTGCAAACACAGGCAAAAATCAATCTCCTGCAAGCATGCCCTAAGAGAATTCAAATGCCACATCCTACACTTAATGGACACATTTGATTAAACTGAAGACAAAAAGACAAAATAAATGGAACCGTCCTAACCTAGATACAATAAATTAAGTACTAACAAAATATCCAAAATATGCCATTTATTAGTTTTGAATAATGTCAACAATTACAACTCTACTGTTTTTCCTACACTAAGAGAACAGTCTCTCTCTATATAATTGCTGCTAAAAATCTACATCAAAATCCTGCTGCAGGTACAAAATAGCACACACCCAAATTAGTAAATGCTAAAATGAAATCTATCAGTAGAGCAATCATTTGCTGATGTATATGAATTCTGTTATTTTCCTCTCAAATTAATAATCAATAGGTATTTTAACTCTTACATTTCACACACAGTTCTCTTACACAGAGAAGCAACTGATAACAGAGATAGGTGTTGTGCCTCACATGGACCAGTCAGTAAACTACAGTACTGTCTGCCAAGAGGTGACACAGAACAGGCAAAATACTTGGTGTAGAGATTCCTTACTACCAAGAGCACAACGAGGTCTGCAATGCTCAGGGAAATTAATTCAGAAAGGACTACTGTGACACTTGAATAACATGCACATTATCTGTGAGGGGCCACGCAAATGAATCAAGAGCTTTCATTTTGCCATGAGACCCACATGCATTATGTTCCCATAAAACTTTGGCTAAAGTGGAGTACTGTACTGAAAAAATCAAAGAGAAACTTGCCAGCCTTCAGGGGTAGAAATTTTAGAACTTAGCCAGTGAAAAGATTCATGATTTACCCAGAAATATCTACAGAAGCTGATAGAAATCAGAGTCCATGATCTTGCAAATTCTGGCCTATTCTATTTTAGTATGAGTATGCTGTCAAGAAAATCCCACCTCACATGCCACCAGTGTGACAAGACTGCCTGTATGTCATATCCTATGTGCATATAAATCTCTGGGACAGGTAGTCCTATGGTGGTTGATGCTGCTAAAATAATCCATTTGAGAATAATGCACTCCTCACAAAAACTTTCTACCATCAGTTGACACAATGTATACATGGCCACAAAAATCTGGCATAATAAAAACCATCTTTTATCAGGCTATCATTACTTTCAGTATAATTTTTATTATGCTGAAGTATTTTTTTTACTTAAAAAGAAAGACCACCACAGTAAGCAGATATGCCTATTGCACATCTGCAGCAATACTGCTACAGTTACTTAGCAACCAGTAAGAATTAAAAAAAGAAATCATGTAAAGGAAGAGAAAAATTGGAAGCAAATTGAGTTGAATAAAAAAAAGCAAATTCCATGTTAACATTCAGTGTGCATAAATACATGGGGCTGTCTTTGCTGCATGCATCAGCAACAGTTGCATAGTGTTAAATCAGCCTATTAAAATCTAAAATCAAAGCTCAATCTAACTTAGATTTGAAGATGTCTTATCTCCCACCTTATGACTATATCCTCTTCTCTGTTTCATATTACATTAGAAAGGCACAACAAAAATGAAGAATGCTGTGTTGGCCAAAAGTTTGTGTAGGTGAGTACCATCTCCGGCATTGAGAGGAGAAAGCAACCTCATCTGGAACAATTTACAGGGAGTGAAATTCTGCTCCCTGTATTCAATAAGAATCACCACAAATATTCATGAGCCCTCTGCAGGATCAGAAACTTGGCTGCTGCAGAAGAAAGCACAGAGACATGTCTGCTGGCCGAAGGGTTTCACACACACTCTCAAAATCTGCTCAAATGGACAGACACATCATCTCCTTCTCCCTTGACTGGGTCGCTCTCCTAACTCACAGATCCCTACCAGCTCAGGTAGCATTTAAAGGTTTCTTTGATTCACCATAAAAGGTGAAGATTTAATGTGTGTTCTGGCATGGAACAAACATAACAAAATTTCTATATGTTGACCAATCATACATAGCTTTTTGGCCTGACTTTTATAATTTAGGAAGGAAAGAATCATATTCTGAAGGAAATTAAAGTCTTAACTACTAAAAGTAATGATGCTATGAATAATCACTTAGATTCTCAGCAGGAGGTAATTATGTTTATGGTGATTTGCAAAATTTAGCAAATTTAGTTTTCTTTATAAGACAGTAGTATTCCATCAGGATGGCATAATATATATTACCTTCCAAGGCAAGAAGACTCTTAAGTAAAAAATATCAGAGACCAACATGCATTTCTGTACTTAATTATTACATTATTTTTTACAATGCATTTCAGAAAAGTGCTGGCAGTTACAATTCATTGATCATTTTCTATGGAATCAAATGCATCAAAATGAAAAAATTAGTATTTCATTTAATGTTTCCCACTCAAGTACTCTTTTGAAAATAGAACTTACAAACTTACTGGGCTTTGTTTTCATATTTGTTTGCAGGTAAAAGCAGTTCAGGACAAAACATCCCTCAAAAACTCTCAATTAATTTAATTTTTTTTCAAAACCTTGGAACAAAAAAGGGATTCTGAGCTGGGCTTCTCTTGGTCTAAAATTTCAGTTAAGCATGAACCATTCAAAAGGGAAGCTTTTTTTTTTAACAGAAAAGTTAGGAAATATTTTAGTTTGACTGATGCTAAACAGTGTAAGAATTGCCTTCATCTCAGCTCTGTGCAATCAGTTTGATTTGAATGTTCCTTTGCACTTTGCAGAAGAAACAGCTCTCCACGAAGTTGCTGGTGCTAACAAAGTACCCAGCATCAATGTCTGTTTGCTGCTCTTATCCCAGTCTGTCACTGCCAAAAGAGGGTCTCATTGCCTTTGCACTTTAAAAATGACAGAGTCCTGCACAGTTTGTCTTGGAGAGCATGGAGTGCCATACAACGTTTCATTGAAGTGGAAAGTTGTGATTTACAGCAAGCGGAGGAGTGGAACAGGACTGCAAAAGCTTAGATGAGAATTGTATTTTAAGAGGTTGAGGAGTATAAATACATAACCATCTCTTCATTCAGTCTTTTAAACACTGCAAGAATTGTCACTGAGGTAGTGTAGGTGTGGAAGGCTGCCTGCATATTCTCTATAGCAATGGCAAACATGAAAGTATTACTGTCAGACTGAACAGAGCAGGTCGAGTGCTTCACAACAGGCACAAGTAACTGACAGATTGACTTCCAGTGATTATCTCATTCCTATAAACCTCTAGCCACTTGAATGAGAGATCTGTCTTATGACTGCATTTTTATTTAAATCATGCATTTTCTACCCCTCCTACATAATCATATGAAGGTTTTTTATAGAATCTCTATTTTTCCTTTTGTTACTTGCAGCTGGATTAATGTTTATAAAAATCCTGAATGGTCTGAAATTGAACTACATTTAATTCCAAGAAAATAGAAATAGGCCTCTGTATAAACAGGTAAATAAAATACCAACATCCTAATGGAAAACAGATGCTCTCACTAGACTACTGAAGCAAAGAGGATGATTTGAGTTCCAGGCTGGTATTCTGCCAGTCATGTTTGAAGTCAAGACTACCTGCAGCTGGTTTTCCTCCCACTCTTTAGTGAGAGTTCATTATCTCTTTTTCACATCTACTCCAAACCTTTAATTAAGACAAGGATACAATAGACTGTTAGACTTTCCTACTTTAGACTTGCCTCTTCCCCTTCAGTGATTCATCACCTTAGTGAGACTTGCTTATAGAGCATATAACTCAGAGCGCAGTTTTTCTGTGCAATGAGCTAAGCAGACTGACCTCTGTCGTGGGGAAGGGATGAAAATTACCTTCAAAACAGCCAGCCAGATTCATAGTTACTTATGGCCATACAGAGGTGGCAATGCCACACCGCAGGGAAAATGGGACAAAGCGAGAATCCTTCCTTTGCTCAAGAGGACAGGTGGAGATACCACCTCCTACTAACTCCTGCTTGGTAGGAAATTTGTTTGCTGGTGAACGTGGCAACCTCTAATGGTACACAGGATTGCAGGAGGGCAAGAAGGCAGACTGAGCAGTGAAACTGCTACTGCCTTGTTTGGAACCCTCTGAAAAAAAGCTTCTCTGGGAAGCTCAGGAAGAATACAGACCTTAAAACTATCACCTAGACACACATCTGTAGGCAAGTAGCAGACAAAGCTAATTTCTAGACTTGCAGCAAAACAGTCTCTCTCAGTCAAGCCAAGCTATTTTTGTGCTGTCAGCTCTGAAGTAAAAAAAAAGGCAAGATAAGCAAATGACATTATATTCTGATAAGTGTTAATTACCAACTAAATATATAAAAATTTCATGGAGTTTTTCTACCCAGGTATATTACATTCAACAATGAGAATGTGATTTCAACTTCATTAAATCAAGAAAAGGGAAATTGCATGTCAATTATTACAATGAGAGATGTGTCCAAGCAGCTTGACTTGGACCAAAACCCAGACAATAACTGACACAAGACTACTTCCCAAAGAACCAGCATAAGGACACATAAGCAGTATTCTGAGATGTGTTACTTTGAACCAGCCCTGACTACACTTCCAGCCAGAAGAGTCTACAGGAAATTACTTTTCTTATGGCACAGAGGCTTAGGCAGGGTTCCACCCCAGAAATGCTCATTTTAAGTTTTAGTTTGCAAAAATTCTATAGACAAGAATTACTTTTCCTCTTCATGTTGAGTTGACACCAAACCAGGCAAGTCAATACTTCTAAAGAAATAACAAGTCTATTAATAAAGTCCTGCTCTTTATCCTTCTGTTCAAATGACATATAGAGTAAATAATATTGCTGCTTCTGTGCATTTTCAGTATGAGCATGGTCAGAGAGAATAATACTATCAAAGACGAAATGAAAGTGTCAGGGTTATTTTTTCCTTCTCAGGCCTGAGTGGCAACTTTCCTGTTTTCCTATAGAAACGCCATGAGATACACAAAAAGCAAACTGACAACATACCACTACTATCCATGAAAAATATTACAGTGATCAAACCATTATTCTGCTGGAGGCAATGTGCCTGAGTGAATTGTTAGAGACCTCATGTCAGTTAAATGCAAAGAAGCACAACTCATTCCACTATTCATCAAATATATATTATACAAATGGAAAGCCCTACCTGGCTCAGTAAAGATCCATCTCTAGAGCTAATTATGTTCCCAGTGGAAAACTATTCTACTCTGGCTCCTACCTTTAAGTGAAGGACCATTTGGAGAGATGGCAGGGGAACAGCAGAGGATCTGGTCTTCCTGAAATCACGAATTGAGATAAATCTGATTGTGTAGTCTAATCCCAATAGTGAAAGATGAAAGAGCCTCTTCAGAACTGGAAAAAAACCCAAAAAAAGTAAAATTGTAAATGCTAAAAATCGATCGCAATTTCAGAGAGGGGAAGGTATTATCTCAGAATGAGTGAATGAGGATTCAGGAGGGCATGATGTTGAAAGTGCAACTCTTTACTATTTTGTATCTTATAAAGCACAGTGCTAGAAAGATTGGTGAGGGGGCTCTGTAAGCAAGTGAATGCAAAGCGCTGAGTCAGACTAAAAATCTACACCGGATGAAGACCTGAATGATTATTGATAAAGACCAAGAGTGAATGACAAGTAAGAACAGATGGAACCAATTTCAATTACCAATGGAAAAGGAGGATAAGATTTGATGACTCCAGAAGCCATAGGAAGAATCCCAAAAGCTGGATGGGCAAAAGCAGGCAGGTCTTTCTGTGGAAGAAAGATGCAAGCATGGTGCAGTATTTACACAGAGTGTCACCACTATTATTATTTATTATCCTCTATTCTTTTCTACAATTCATTTCCCTTCAGAAGCACAAAGGTTATTTCTTACATCAACTTATGTGTCACATGGTAAAACTGTAGGTTTTCTGGGACAGGATCTTTTTCCTGTGTGCAAGCAATAACGAGCACAGTGGTGGCCTAATTGCTGACTCAGGCCACTTGAAATAAAAATACTACTAAGAAATACTGTGGGGGAGATTGAGGAGTGATTCAGCCTAATGTAGAAAAGCTGATGCTTCAGCCTCACACAGAAGTTTTGCTTTCCCAACACTACAATAAAAGCAAGAGGGCTTGCTAGGTTGGCATTTAAACTATTTACAACCATTTTCTTACATTGTTTGTGTTTCATGTAAGACACTACATTTCTTGTCTGTTAAGATTGGTTCATGTCAGTAAATTTGAAGTAGCATCTTTTGACCTTGCAGGAGAGGCTGAAATGCTTTGTTATAGGTACACAGAGCTATCTTCTTACCTGAAGTTATTTTACCTGCAATTATTTCCTATGAAGAGGAGAGAAGCTTAGGTTCTGATGGCCAGATATGATTATTTCTCTTAAAAGTTAAATTGCATGAAAAATATGCTCCTAGGGTTTTGAAAAAGTAAAAGGTCAGGCAAAAGCTGTTTTCAATCGACTCCTCGTGCCCAGCACGATTTTTGCAGTACGTGTGAGAGACACTGCATTTTGCAAAGACCTTGTAACTTCTGGAAAGCCTTTGGTATAGAGCTGGGTAAAGATGACTGCTGAACCCCATGGCTGACTTAGAAATATGTCAACTCCAGCAGCTACTTTTCTAATATCAGGTATTCTAAGCTTTGCTGTTAGATAGGATAGTTAGTAAGTCCTGTGTTCAAGATAGCCTTTTTTGATCAGTGAAAAAACCGTGTAACATAAATTTATTTCCTTTTTAAGACTGACACTTCTAAAGACTTCATGATTTAGTTCAGAACCATTCCATTTAGTGGGCTGATGATTTAAGTCTTCCACAGTGGATGAATCAAAAATGCTGAAACCTAGCTCAGTTTCAATTTTACTGTTGTGATGGGCATCTGTACTGAGCAATGTATAAACAAAAGAATCCAAGTGACTATACATCATAAATATTTATTTCAAAATTTCTGTTTCCCTATCCATCAGATGGACCTGGGACTGAGGATGAAGAACTGTATTTGTGATGAACCCTTCCAGCAGCTGCAAAATGAGCAATGGGGCCATATTGGCCTCGTTATTAATTTAGAAGTAGCAGGAAAGAGAGACTTTAGAAGTAGCAGGAAAGAGTTTCTTAAAATTGTGCCCCAGCAGCTTTCCTTACACATTTCACAACATGAGCTAGACAGCTGTTCTCATCTTTTCCGTAGGCAAAATAAAGATGACTTTTAACATCAGCACAACTTCAGTTAACAAACTGTCCCTCTAAGTCAAGATCTGCCCTCAGTGGTCACTGCCAGTAACCTGACATCAATTCTACGTGCTACCACGTATCTGGTAGGACAAGGAACAGAAATGCTGCAAGAAGTTGCCAGGCTGCTAGTCTGGGAAAAGCATTTCACGGTTGTTAGTATTAATTCTTGAATTACTGGTATTTTTCAGAAAGAAAAAAAAAAGTGAATCCTTGATGGAAATGCATTTATGTAACAGGAATGACTCAAGCCTCCATTGTTATTTGAGCAGTTCATACCATATAATCTCTCACACTGGGGGCTTCTGAGAAAAATCCAGCAAATATGCCACTCATCACTCTCGGTTTCTACTTTATGCTGTGGTGTATTTTTAACAGCGTTAATTATTGTTTGGCTCTTGTACTTGAAGTGTTCTCTATGAGTCAGGCTAAAAGTTAATACACATTAAATAATAATACAGAAGCAGCCAATTAGTAAAAATGCATCCAAGTACTGTGCAATGCAACCATATGAGCAGCTGATACAGGACTTTCGATGTAATTACTGGGGCTTAGATGTCAAATTATTGAACAAACCAGTGAATCAATGAACTGTGCATTTACAGATTATTAAAATTGAAAGTGATGAGGGATCTCAAGGTATCAGTCAACACAAAAATGAGCCTGCAGTGAGTCATTTTTGGCAAAAGTTTGCTGAGAGGTTGTGAAATCTCCTCTGTTGAAGGTTTTAAGAACAAAGCCTTGACAATCCGTGCCAATGCTTACTCACCCAAACCATGAGAATTTTTTCCTAACATGTAATTTAAATCTGCCTCATATTTAAACTCATTGCCTTTTCTGCTAGCCTCAGTTATCATGAAGAACAGGTTGTTTTATTATTTTCTGCTGGAGCCTTTCATACACTTGGCATACAGGCGGATGTTGCATGGGGTCTGATGAGGGCTGCACCCTTCCCTCACACCACACTGTGCAAATCACTGCTCTTACAGCTCCTGTCAGGGCTGCAGTAGCTCTGAATGGGGGGCTGCACCACCTCCAGGGGTGTAAGTAAATAGCTGGTTCAATCCTGAGGGCAAACTGAATCTCTGTATATCCAATCTCTGCTATTTCAGCCAAGACAGGGGCTCTCATTTATCTCACAGATTAGGGTGCAAAAATCCAGGATTGATGTCACTGAGTCTTAGTAAGGTATCTTAATCAGCCTTACATGTAACTTCTTTAAGTTAGAAAAACATAATTCACTCCTTGTAAGCACAAATGACTAGCTCTTGCTTTATCTTGGACACAGACTTCTCTTGCATATTGTGAGAATACTAATCACAGAATATGCTGATTTGGAAGGGACCCACTAGGATTATCCAGTCCAACTCTTAGCCCCGCACAGGACCATGCCCAAGAGTCACACCATGTATTTCTTCTTCACCAGATTTTTTTTCTTGACCAATTTAAAACATACAACTATATTAAAAATGCACATAAGCAGGACTGATATATTATTCAACCTTGTGAAAAAAATTAAACGAGATAAAAAGTCCCAAACTGGGATTTTAAAGTTTAGGATATTGTCCCAACAGTAAAGACATTACTAAGAGTTTCTTGGAGAAAGAAGCTTTGGGAAGTTCTCTGCTTGCTTTGTTGTCTAGCTTAGACACCTGAAACTGAAATAGTTGCTGACCTTTAACTGTGATATTGCAAAGTGAAAATTAGGACACTGTGATAGGAAAATGCAGCTATGTGTGTCATTGTGTACAAATCATTAATACTGGTGCCCTGAGATAATTGACGAATCAGAAAATTTTCAGAGATTTAAACCAAAGAGAAATCCAACTATTTAATTTCACTGCTTCTCTGTGAACTGTAAGCTATTACATTTTTAAAATGAATGTTCAATTGACTGCGGAATCTCAAACTGGTTATTTAGTTGCGCCCTCAGAAATAACTGTAGCAGGCTGAATGCAGCCCCAGCGCTTCCAGTGCGTGACATACAGCGGGAGATGAGGAGGATAATAGGAACAGCAGGGTTGCCATAGCCTTCTTTTCTATGTACACATCTCCCTATCTATATTAGCAGACATCACATGGGAACTAAAAGCTAAACTGAAGCTCCTCAGGTGATTTCAAGTCTGTATCCATAAAGCAAACAGAAGATAGCACATAAACACACGACACAGAACAGCTAAAAGCAAGGTGCTGAAAATCGTTAGGGTAAAAGGAATTGTTGTGTGAATTAGGGTAGAGATCTGGAGTATTTTGGAGGTCTGTAACAGTAATGACAGGCTTCTCTCAGTAACTCATCTGCAGAGGTACAGGAGGATTATGACTGAAGAATGAAACAAAAGAAAAAGCACTAAACTCTTTCTTCAGTGAAAGGGCTTTTTCAAGGCTTGTACCTGAGGACAAGAAATGCTGGCATTTCACTTCAATAGCCTCACAGATCCAGCTTAGCAACAGAAGATATAAATGGGTAATGTCTTCAAACAGCCTACCCACAGCCCATGGAAGGTACCTGGCGGGGGTTGGGACTTCTTCCCTGGCTACTGTGGCAGGTCCCAGAAAATGCTGGGCTGGGGAGGGCTGCCCTGGGCAGGTCCCCTTCTCCCTGCCTGCTACAATGTGTTTAAAGGCAAACCCAAAAACATCTCCTCTGAAAAGAGATTATTCCACATCAAATTCACTCGACAAATGTTTATCTGGAACACAGGTATTTATTATCCTGAAGACTGTGTTCTCAGTTACTTTGCATGAACAATGGTGGAAGTCACTTGAATGGTATCCAAGGAGACCACTGAACTAAACTAATTAATCTTCTCTTATTACTGTTTACAGCTGTTTTTAAGCAGGCAATAACTGATCCCATAGAGCCCATTATGGCTCCTCCATACTTTATAAAGATAGGTAATACATTTATCAGAGCTGTTTTTGCTTCTTAAAATAATGTTGTTAAGCTTCTCCATTTCATTCATAACACATAACTTTCCACTTTT